TTTGGATACACCCTTGTACATGTGATTTAGTTTAACTGGGGTCATGTACCCCCTATGAAACATTTTCATCCAATTCTCCTTCAGGTCCATTGCATAGGTGTATTTAATTTTTTTTCTTCCACATTATTTCCCAGTCACACATTGCTATAGATCTTTTAAAATTTTCTGCCCACTTAACCATACAGCCTTTTATTAATTCGGTCTCCGTTGACCATTCTAATAGTTTATCATATAATTTTGTGATACATTTTGTTTCAGTTTTTAGAAATTTATCCCAGAATTCTTCCTTAGTTTGAAAACCCAGCTTTTTATCTTGGTTATATTGTTCCTTTATTTGTAAATAACTCAGCCACGTGCATCTTAGACCCCTGCCCATCCTGGCTGATAAAGGAAACCAGAGCGGGTTTGGCAGAGTGGTGGAGGTAGTGGTTCATGTCTCTTTACGAGAAGGTAAGATTCCAGCAGACCTTAAGGAGACCGTCATAAAACTGCTGATGAAATAAACACCACTGGATCCCACTCAACTGAACAACTTTGGGACAGTTTCCAGTCTCCCCTTTTGGGGCAAAGTCTTGGAACATGTGGTGACCTCACAACTTTCCTCCTTTTCCATCCACTTCTCCATACAGCAGACAAAACATTGGATTAGAACAATCATTACGAAATCCTTCTTTTCCAAAGTGTGGAAAACATGTATCAAAACTAAGGCAGATATTAGGAGACGCAAGCATGATGGAGTAGGACAAAGGGGGAGAGCAACACCATTCACAAGCAGATTGGGTTCTCAGTTGTTCTGTTGTCTTCTATGCCTTAAGTGAGCAAGATCCCTTTGCTCTACAAAGGAAGTCGAAAGGGTCATGCAAACACACCAAAGAGCCAGCTTACTTTGAAGTAGAGAGGTTCTCTTTGGAAAGGTTCTTTTGAGGAGTCTCTAGGTCTGTGATGGTGAACCTATGGCAAGCGTGTCAGCACTGACACGCATGGCTAATTTTGATGACACGTGGCCACATGCAGCTGCATACAGAGAAGTACACCTTATAAGACCCAATCTAATTCCATCCTTAAATTTGTAAAAGGCTCTACAAATTTAACATCTGCATGTTTGAGCATTGTTCACTCCATAACTCAGCATGGAATATACATTTTTCTTATTTAAACTATAAATATTGCAAAATTACATTTTTTTTTCTCGAAGTTGACACCCCACCCAAGTTATGGTCAGGTTTTTGGCAAATTTTGACATACTGAGCTCAAAAGGTTGCCCATCACTGCTCTAGGTAAAGGTAGAGGTTTCCCCTTGACATTAAGTCTAGTTGTGTCTGATTCTGGAGGTTGGTGCTCATCTCCATTTCTAAGCCAAAGAGTCAGCATTACCCATAGACACCTCCAAGGTCATGTTGCCACTAGCATGACTGCATGAAGCATCGTTACCTTCTCACCAGAGTGGTATCTATTGATCTACTCACATTTGCATGTTTTTGAACTGCTAGAGAAGTCTCTAGGTTCCATATTTACCACTCAAGCCATGGGTCTTCCACTTCCATTAGCAAGCTCAACATAAAGCCTGGAGATCTTGAGGGGAATGTATGGACCTCACATAGCCACCCAATTGGCCCCCACTCCTAGCCAAGATTAGAAGACTGGTCATGTGGATGGGTTTGGGTGTCTACTATGGTCAACCCAGATGCACCCAAATACCCGGGAGTCACTCTGGACCGTGCTCTGACCTACAAGAAGCACTACAATATCAAGCAATACAATATCAAGCACTACAATATCAAGCAAAAAATGGGCACTAGAAACAATATCATATGAAATCTGACTGGCACAACCTGGGGATCACAACCAGACAGAGTGAAGACATCTGCCCTTGCGCTTTGCTACTCTGCTGCTGAGTATGCATGCTCAACGTAGAACACATCTCACCATGCTAAAACAGTGGATGTGGCTCTGAATGAGATATGCCGCATTATCATGGGCCTACACCACTGGAGAAATTACACTGTTTAGCTGGTATTGCACCACCTGACATCCGCTGGGAAGTAGCAACCAATAGTGAAAGGACCAAGGCAGAGACATATCCAGCTCATTCCCTGTCTAAGTATCAGCCAGCACGCCAACGACTTAAATCAAGAAATAGTTTTCTAAGATCTACAGAGATACTTCCTGGAACACCTCAGCAAGCAAGAGTCCAAAAGTGGCAGGCTCAAACCCAGAACCTCAACCAATGGCTGATACCAAATGTGAGACTCCCGCCTGGGCACACAGAAAACTGGACAACTTGGAAGGTGCTGAACAGATTGCGCTCTGGCACCACGAGATGCAGAACCAACCTCAAGAAATGGGGCCACAAAGTGGAGTCCACGACATGCGAGTGTGGAGAAGAGCAAACCACTGACCACCTACTACAATGCAACCTGAGCCCTGCCACATACACAATGGAGGACCTTCTTATAGTAACACCAGAGGCACTCCAAGTGGCCAGATACTGGTCAAAGGACATTTAATCAACTACCAAACTTGCAAACTTTGCATATTGTATGTTTGTTTGTTAAAAATGCAATACAATTGTTCGATGTGCTCCTGACATGATAAATAAATAACCCAGATGTAGCACAACCCTGACATCTATCTATCTATCTATCTATCTATCTATCTATCTATCTATCTATCTATCATCTATCTATCTATCCATCCATCCATCCATTCCCACCTCCCATCATTCCTATGCCACCTCTCTCTCCATCTGGGGCCATGTGGGGCCCACAATGCTAAAACCCGATCAACCCAAAACACAAGAGCTCATTGACAACTAGTAAAGGCTGAAAACATGTGATTGCAAGTATCTCCCTGAAGGACTTGCAGGCAGAGAGGATCTGGTAGATGTCAAGGCATCAATTTGGAGAAGAAGTATGTTTTGGATAAGAGAGACTGAAATAAGATAGAGGCATTCTTTAGTGAACCAATGATAACCGAAAATTGCAGCCCTGTCCAAATAAATATCACGTGTGTTTCATCTTCTAGCTCAAGGGGACAAGGATTTATCTAAAGAAAGACTATGTGAGATAATCCAACATAAAACCAGTTCTCTTTGGGCAAGTCACTACTCTTTCCCAACAGCCTGGAAAAGTAATTCTTCTGGGCTACAAGAGCCAGACCAACCAAACACAATTCCCTTTCATGTTATGAATAAATGGAAATGAAAAGTCCACCATCTGAAGACAAAGTTTGCTTTGCGTACTTATCCCTCTCCAGCTGGCAGACGTCTTCCAAAATGGGTCTCCAGTCAAATGCTCCTGGAGACTTCTTCAGCCACTACTATATCTCCTCCCACTTCTGCTCCACAAAATTCATGGTGATTGCAAGTATCTCCCTGAAGGACTTGCAGGCAGAGAGGATCTGGTAGATGGAAGCTCCATTTCCAGTGTTGATGAGGGTATCTCCTCGGACGCCATCTATGTCTGAGAGACACTGTGAGATTCCCCTTTCTCCCTTCATCCTTCTTTTCTGCTTCCTTCAAACAGGAATCTCAGTGCTCTTCCTGGATGCCATCTCTTTTGAAAATTGAGGACCCCCTTTATTTTGTATGTACTCAGCTGAGTCCATTGAAGCACTATTCTTGGTTGTCATTGCTGCAGTGACAAGTAGGACTAGTAGGATTCATTTTATAGGACAACCCCAACTCTACGTATAGAAGCCAGGATCCAAGGGTATTCTTTAGATATGCCCTATTGTTTATGCCAGAGCCAGAGAGATGCACATCCAGGTCTGCCCTATACTAGGATGTGATGAAAACCCTATGGAGTTCTTTGGGGTGCCATGGAACGCTGTAGAAGGATGGGAATGGGGACAAAGGTCCACTGTTGTTTCTCATAGCTTATGTGAAGTTCCTATAAAGCCAAGAGGGTCATCCTCCTTCCTCCTTTAGCTGAAATGCTGGGCTAAGACCAATGTAATCCCAATGGCTACATGACTCAAATGAGATGTGTTAGTCAACACTCTGGCTTCAAAGGAATCTATTCAAGGATGAAGCTAAATCTGGAGTCAGCCCCACATCTTTATTCTCATCAACAGCACTAGAAGCCACAGTGGTAGTGAGTTGAACCCTTGTGTTAGCTGAACTGCTGAGTTGAAGGTCGGTGGCTCGAATCCACAACACACGGTGAGCTCCTACCTGTCAGCCCCAGCTTCTTAAGCAGAGACATGAGAGAAGCCTCCCGCAGGATGGTAACACATCCAGGCATCCCCTGGGCAACATCTCTGCAGATGGCCAATTATCTCACACCAGAAACAACTTGCAGTTTCTTGAGTTGCTTCTGACATGATAAAAAAAATTTAAAAATTGTGTGTTGTGTGTTGTGTGTTGGCATCGAATTGTTGCTGGTGTAAGCCGTCCTGAGTCCCCCCTCGGGGGTTGAGATGGATGGGGTACAAATGTTTGAAATAAATGTTAAACAGAGGCTGGCTGGCCATCTGTCGGGGGTGCTTTGAATGCAATTTCCCTGCTTCTTAGCAGAATGGAGGTGGACTGGATGGGCCACCAGGTCTCTTCCAACTCTATGAATCTATGATTTGACTCCAAAAGGAAGGGTCTGCAAGGAAACCAAGGATTTTTGTGAAGTCTCCAAGTGGCCCAGAGTCCTGTCCAAAGCCCTTCGGTTCCACACAAAGAGGTCTGGAAGGGAATGTCCTTCTCACACAACTTGGCCTCTGCTTCCAACTTGTGGTCCAAAACAATGCCATAAAACTCAATGGTTTTCTCCATTTGTGGTTCTCCATTTGACCTTGTCCTACATTGCGAGATTTCAGGGGAGATTTGCAACAAAAACCTGGTTCTGAGGCATTGCAACATCCATTCCTGGTATCTGGGGCTATGACCACATTCACGACCCTTTGATTGAGGGAAGGCAGGGTTTACAAACACGAAAGAATATATACGATTCTTGTATAGCGGCCCCTCCTCTCTCTTCATGTATCTTAAATTAGGCAATCGCGAAGAGGCAGGTATAAATTGAGAAGCAACCCGAGCAAAGGAACCCATCACAGACCCAGAGGCAACATGGCAGAAAAACGCTCTGGAAAAGATTATTACAGGAAGAACTTCTTTCCAAAGAATTATTTAAACATGTACCTGACTTTTGTGTCTGGTGATTCTTCGCATTGCGGCACTGCACAAGCTCCCATCCTGGACAAGCTCCACAAGGCATTCGCAGAGGGTGAGTATTGGGGACTTTGGCATAGCCTCAACAGACCAGGTATTATTCCAGTCCAAGAGGAAGGGAAAGGTGAGGAAGAACCTTGAGGTGACTATCAAGGGCCTAAAGGTTGGAAATGTGGAGCTGACTTGGAAAGAGGGTCTTCCAGAGCAGGGTTCAAGGGAGGAACCCTTGAACCCTGCTACATTCCTCATAGAACAAGTCCTAGGCATGTTTAACCTGTAGAAGAGAAGGCTGAGAGGAGACATGATAGCCATCTATATAAATAAAAATGTAATGTTCGTCTGTGGGATTAACAGAACTCCAAAACAACTAGACCAATTGATACCACATTTGGACAGCATACACCTAGCAACCCAATGTATGTCCTTCACTCAAAAAATTTTTATTTTGTCATTTGGGATGTAGTTGCTGGGATTTATAGTTCACCTACAATCAAAGAGCATTCTGAACTTCTCCAATTATGGCATTGAACCAAACGTGGCATACAGGACTCCCATGACCAACAGAAAACACTAGAAGGGTTTGGTGGGCATTGACTTTGAGTTTGGGAGTTGTAGTTCACCTACATCCAGAGAGCACTGTGGATTCAAACAATGATGGATCTGGACCAAACTTGGCACAAATATAACACAGATGGAGTTTGGGGAAATAGACCTTGACATTTGATTTGTAGTTACTGGGATTTATAGTTCACTACAATTAAAGAGCATTCCGAAACCCACAAACGACAGAAATGGGGCAAACTTCCCACACAGAACCCCCATGACCAACAGAAAATACTTAAGGCCATCCAGTCCAACTCTCTTCACCAGGGCAAGAAAATGTAATCAGAGCCCTCCTGACAAAGAGCCATCCAGTCATAAATATAGATAGATATATATGATTCACACATACACAGATATAGTATCATAGATTTGAAAGGGACCCCTAAAGAAGGAATGATATGTTCATGTTCCAGAGTAGGCAAACCAGACAATCTCCACATCAACACTGACAAAGAAACAACAAGAAATACTGTTTCCCCACAAGCATAAAGAAATTATAAAAATTAGAAACCAACACTTTCACATTAATTTATTTTCCAGATCACCAGACTGGGCCACAGCAATGTGTGGCAGGGGATGGCTAGTGTATAAATAAATATGTGAGGGGAAGTCATAGGGAGGAGGGAGCAAGCTTGTTTTCTGCTGCCCTGGAGACTAGGACTCGGAGCAATGGCTTCAAACTACAACAAAGGAGATTCATAGAATCATAGAATCAAAGAATTGGAAGAGACCTCATGGGCCATCCAGTCCAACCCCCTGCCAAGAAGCAGGAATATTGCATTCAAAGCACCCCTGACAGATGGCCATCCAGCCTCTGTTTAAAAGCTTCCAAAGAAGGAGCCTCCACCACACTCCGGGCAGAGAGTTCCACTGCTGAACGGCTCTCACAGTCAGGAAGTTCTTCCTAATGTTCAGATGGAATCTCCTCTCTTGTAGTTTGAAGCCATTGTTTTGCGTCCTAGTCTCCAAGGAAGCAGAAAACAAGCTTGCTCCCTCCTCCCTGTGGCTTCCTCTCACATATTTATACATGGCTATCATATCTCCTCTCAGCCTTCTCTTCTTCAGGCTAAACATGCCCAGTTCCCTAAGCCGCTCCTCATAGGGCTTGTTCTCCAGGCCCTTGATCATTTTAGTCGCCCTCCTCTGGACACATTCCAGCTTGTCAATATCTCTCTTGAATTGTGGTGCCCAGAATTGGACACAATATTCCAGATGGAGGTGTCTTCGAGGGCATCCCAGACCCCTGCCTTCAAGCTGGTCTGACTAGCAGCAGGGAGTTCCACAGTTCCTGATTGCCAAGTTGGGCCAAACTGATGAAATGTGCCCCAGCAGCAGCCTCAACCAGGGACTCTTTACAGCCGTGTGCTCTCTCCTTTCACTCCTTTGCTAGCCCCAACTATGTAACCAATCCCCAAATAAAGACTAATCAAATTACAACTTTTGAACTCTCCAGCTTGATACTTTGTATCCCTTTCTTGCCTGAAACTATCAAAACGCACGAAATTAACCTTTTCCAGGCCACGGGAGACTGCAGGCCTGCCCGGAATAAAACATATTCCCATTGGCCTGCATCAATGTTAGAAAGAACTTCCTGACTCTGAGAGCTGTTCAGTAGTGGAACTCTCTGCCCTGGAGTGTGGTGGAGGCTCCTTCTATGGAGGCTTTCAACCAGAGGCTGGATGGCCATCTGTTGGGGTGCTTTGAATGTGATTGTCCTGCTTCTTGGCAGAATGGGGTTGAACTGGATGGCCCACCATAGAGTCTCTTCCAACTCTATGATTCTATGAGGAGAACCCACCAATTCCATCAGAAAACATAAGATCTAGCACTAGTACTGTGGCTTCTGCACAGTGTCATGGTTGCTGGGACCTGTATCGGACTCCATCCTAGAAGTGGTGGGATGGGTCAGATTTAGAAGAGTGTGGTTATGTGCTTTCAAGTTGTATCTGGTGCATGGTAACCCTCAGGGATACAATCATGGGGTTTTGGGGGCTGAGACTCTGTGACTCACCAAGGTGACCCATGGGTTTCTATGGCTGTGGGATATCCAACCCTGGTCCTTGGAGTCCTTGTCCGACACTCAAAATATTACACCATGATGGCTCTTAATTCCTTCATTCTGTAGATGGACTGAGAGGGGGAAAGGTTGGTGGAGATTCAAAAAGTGAAGGGAGAAGATAGGCTTAACATCCCCTGAATGATGATCCCCTTCCAGATGGGATAGGCAGGCAGGAGAGAGGGAGGACATGATGGAAGAAGGCCTCAGAGATAGGAGCCAGGAGTTTTCATGGTTTCTTTGCAACACAGATGGCATCCATGGAGACACCCTGATTGACATTGGAAGCGGGGCCTCCATCCACCAGCTCCTCGCTGCCTGTGAGTCCTTCAAGGAGATCATCGTCACTGATTTCCTTGAGCAGAACCGGGAGGAGATGAAGCGGTGGCTGATGAAGGACCCGGAAGCATTTGACTGGACCCCGGTGCTGAAATACGCCTGCCAGCTGGAGGGGGACAGGTACCGTATAAGGAGAAAGAGGGGACATTTGATGGGTGCTGTTGTCATTTTAGTCTTGTGGCTCCTTAAAGACCAATGTGCCCTTTTCCATCATGAAGCTGTCATGGAGACCCAAGTTATGAATGAAAGTTCTGAACTCCACAAAAACTTTGTGGCCTCAATATTATTTAATATTGGGAATCATAAGGTACTTCCTGATATTTGCTTGCACATTTTGGTATGTCATTATCTAAATCAGGCCTGGGCCAACTTGGGCCCTCCCTCTGCCATCAAAATGGAGTCAATCCGCCATCTCGCGGATACGGGGACCTGAGGGGTTTCCGTATCCGTGGTTTGTGTTTTATTCCGGGCAGGCCTGCAGTCTCCCGTGGCCTGGAAAAGGTTAATTTCGTGCATTTTGATAGTTTCAGGCAAGAAAGGGATACAAAGTATCAAGCTGGAGAGTTCAAAAGTTGTAATTTGATTAGTCTTTATTTGGGGATTGGTTACATAGTTGGGGCTAGCAAAGGAGTGAAAGGAGAGAGCACACGGCTGTAAAGAGTCCCTGGTTGAGGCTGCTGCTGGGGCACATTTCATCAGTTTGGCCCAACTTGGCAATCAGGAACTGTGGAACTCCCTGCTGCTAGTCAGACCAGCTTGAAGGCAGGGGTCTGGGATGCCCTCGAAGACACCTCCATGGGTTTTGGTTTCAACTCCCACAATTCCTACCTTTTCCTTTCCCCCCTCAGCCTCTTCCATACCTCCAAACCAGATCCACAATTTTAATACCCATTGAGATGGCCAACACCTCAGGCACCCATTGTTTATCTGTTAGGAATTGTGGGAGTTGAAGTCCAAAACACCTGGAGAGCAAAGTTTGCCCATGCTTGGTCTAAACCAGTGGTTCTCAACCTGGGTTCCCCAGATGTTTTTGGCCTACAACTCCCAGAAAACCCAGCCAGTTTACCAGCTGCTAGGATTTCTGGAAGTTGAAGGCCAAAAACATCTGGGGACCCCAGGTTGAGAACCGCTGGTCTAAACACTGTTTCTAAATGCCCAACAAAGGTTGATTGCAATTCATCAGTGCAGGCAGAATTGACATTTTACCTCCTTTCTTTTACCTACGCCTTTATTGCCAGTCTAAATGGGATTTTGGGGACTGTCGCCTTAAACGGTTACACTGATACTGATAACTGTCCACATGTTTCAGGCCACCTTATCTCACTTCCTTGTTCTTTGAATAATATGATTGCTGGTTAAATGCAATCAAATCTGGGATCTTTATTTGGGTTGGTTAAGGGCTCTGGATAGTTTGCCGGCTCATCAAAAGCGCATCGTGCAAACTGGCCCCTGAAGGCACCTGGTGTTTTCCCAGAAAGGGATGGCATGGTTCATTGCAGTTCTGCTGAGCTGATTGCAAAAGTCTCTCCATTTCCAACTGATGGTGGTTACAGGATGGCTACTATACTTTGCAAGGGGCATATTTGCACCATCAGAGCTTGCTCCAAAGACTTTCAATCCAGGCAAGGCTCCACTTCCAGTAGGGAGGTGCATCCATCTTGGGTTTCAGCCCAAACTCTAAGAAAGTTATCCAAGGTCCTGAACCCATAGAACAGGCCTGGGCAAACATGGGCCCTCCAGGCATTTGGACTTCAACTCCCACAATTCCTAACAGTCTCAGGCCCCTTCCTTTTCCATTTCTTTTTCTGCTTAAGCACCTGAGGGGCCAAACTTGCCCATGCCTGCCATAGAGAAACGCACAAAGCAACATACTTTCAATATCATCCAAAACGACTGGCCTATAGCTATCACTACAAAAGAAAATGGGTTCCCTTCCATAATAATCACATCCCCTCTTTTATAATAAAAGGGGGAAAGTACAACTATTATGCAATTAAATACGGTAATCGTTAAGGTGACTGTGTGCATTTGTCCCATACTTGGTCACTAGAAAAGGGCAGAAATGACTTTTCCGAAGGCAAGTTGGTTCTCTTGATGTTTTGTTTTACCAATGTAATGAATAACAGCAATGGATTATCATTCACTGCTATTGCTCATCACCATATTTTAACAAGTAACCTGTCCAACCGTTTGCAATGCAACTCGTTACTTATTCTGCCTTCTTCTTGCAACAAAGAGGTATAGGAATTGAAAGAGTGTGGGGTAAAACATGGCACAGCTTGTGATGAAAAATGTTATCTGTCATATCAATGGGAAGAACTTTACTTCACTTTTGGAGCATGAATTTGTTGTTGTTTTTGTTGTGTACCTTCAAGTTACTTCTGACTTAGGGTGACCATATCACTGGGTTTTCATGGCAAGGTATCGTAAGAGACTAAGTGAGTGTAAGCTCCTGAGAGTCACCCAATTGTTTGTTAGCGCAAGCAGAAGTATTGTAAAAACTCAGAATAATGGACTCTGGAGTCACCGGTAAAAAGCAGGTTTCAGCTTTACTAGAGCAGTTCAGAAACACACCCAACAACATCAGCAAGCAGACGTGAAGTACACAGAACAAAGGAAATGGGAAACAAAAACAAAACTGCAGCTGGCTTGGGAGTTATCGGACACTCCATAATATTTCACACAGCTAGAGTCTCAGGGTCACATTCTACCAGCCTTCGGAGTAAACATACATCCTGGCAATACAATCTTGTTGCAATCACATTTCTACTACATGAAATTACATTTAAACATACATCATACATGAAAATATACACTGACATTGTTTTGTATGGATTGGTGGGGATTTGAACTCTGACTTATGAGCAGAATTAATAATAATAACAATAATAACAGTTTATTTGTACCCCGCTACCATCTCCCCAAGGGACTCGGTGCAGCTTACATGAGGCCAAGCCCAAATACAACAATGCAAGCAATAATAACAACAATACAAGCAATTAAAATAAAACATGGACAATACAATAATGCAACATTAACAATAAGACCACATGATTAAAAACTATGGGAAGGCCAAATGTAAAATTAAAATTGAAAGTAATGTTGAATTCTTGAAAAGAATTCTCAAATCACTTCCAGAAACAGGTTGTCAAGAGGTGTGCCCGTGCCATTCTCTCAATCTGAGACAGTGAGGCGGGTCCAAGTTTCCCCAGTTTGGCCTTCCAGGACAAATATGAAGATTTGAACCTGGTTCCTCAGAGACCTAATATAACAAGATTTTTTTCCTAGGTTACAAATGTCATTTCCTAATTTGTTCTATCATAAAAACATGGGAAAAGTTTACCAAACAGCTTAAACTCCACGGTTGCTTTGTTCCCATCTCTCCTTTGCATTCCCTGCAGTGAGAAGTGGAAGGAAAAGGAGGAGAAGCTCAGGAGGACCATCAAGCAAGTCCTGCCTTGCGACGTGACCCTGGCCAATCCCTTGGATCCTTTGGTGCTCCCACCAGTTGACTGCGTCATCTCCACTTATTGCCTGGAATCGGCTTGTGATGATCTTCCCGCTTACTGTGCAGCTGTGAAGAATGTGGGCTCCTTGGTCAAACCTGGGGGCCACCTTATCTTTGCAGTGGTTATGGAGGAAACCTACTACATGGTTGGCCCACACAAGTTTGATTGCCTTTGGTTGACACCAGAAACGGTCAGAGATGCTGTGGAAGGGGCCGGCTTTGAAGTCCTGTGGTCTCAGAGCCTTGGGTTCACCTTTCCACTACCAATCTGCGATGCCAAAGACTCCATTTTGATAGTGGCCAAGAAACCTAGTGAATCCCTAGTGAAAGAACCAAAGCCAGTTAAAGGAACACCGTAAATGAAGCTCATTTTCCAGATCTTTGAGCTCTAGATTGGTAACGCACAAAAAAGTACCCATATTTACTTAAGTCTAATGCACCATTTTCAAAGCCCTGGAACCCAAAAACGTATTGACACTTTACACAAATCTAATGTGCACCCTAATTTTGGGAAGGTAATTTGGTAAAAAAAAAGGGGGGGTGAGCATTAGATTTGAGTAAGAACGGTATATTGCTCTAAGCCAGGATGGCTGATGGCTATTTCTGTAACTTAGTGAAGTTTTGCTTCAAGCTTAATGGAGTTGTCCCAGGTGCTGAAATGGTCCCAGGACCTTGGAGAGCTCTTTTAAGACCAAGCAAAACATGGAAAAGTTTCACTGGCCTCCTGACTTGGAAACCACCAGACAGTCTTTGGTAATTACCATTTTGGCAATCCCACAACATGCCAGTGGCTGTGCATTCTTGTACAGTCTGGATATTGTAATCTTTAGAAAAGTAACCATGTCCCAAACATTACAAATAGATTATGCCTTGGGGAAGAACCAAAAAGAAATAATTTTTGCTTTGTATTACCAAGTATTGCTCTCCTTTTCCCCAGATGTTATTGCTAAGCAATAAAACGTCCAGTTCTTTGAGCCCTATATTGGAAACACACAAAGTAGTATCCATATTTGCACATATTTCAGAACCCTGAAATCCAAAAAAAGCATTTACCATATTACACAAATCTAATGTGCACCCTAATTTTGGGAAGGCAATTTGGTCAAAAAAGTTAAGCGTTAGATTTGAGTATATGCCAAGATGGCTTATGGATCCTATCTCTGTAACTTAGTGAAGTTTTGCCTCAGGCTTAATGGAGTTGTTCAGGTGCTGAAATGGCCCCAGGACCTTGGAGAGCTCTTTTAAGAGCAGGCAAAACCTGGAAGGGATTCACTGCCCTCCTGACTTGGGAGCCACCAGTCACTCTGTAGTAATTGCCATTTTGGATCTACAAATCACAGAACATGCCAGTGACCGTGCATTATGGGTATTGGAATCTTTGGAAAAGTAACCCTGTCCCAAACACTACAAATAGATTATGACTTGGGGAAGATCCAACCAGAATTAACTTTTTCTTTGTATTTCCAAGTACTACTCTCCTTTTCCTCAGATGTTCCGGCTAAGCAATATAACCAGATGTGATTCTTAATTTGGGAAAAATGACCAGTAGTACCGATTCTATACAAACCATGATGTATCAGCTTACATTTCAGAACAAAGTTAGAGATGAGTGAAAATATAAAGGACCAGTGTTTGTTAAGACCTCTAGCATTCATATTCAAATGATTTTGTGTATTGTCAACTTTTTTCAATCAGCGTATGGCAAGGCAGAGTGACTGCATCATGATTGAGATGTGTAATATCTATAGAGATGTACTTGCTTAGTTTTTGCATGCATGTGATGTTAGAGATGCCTTCTTCATGTCTACCTTGTATTAAGTGAATTGTGGGTGGTGTTTCATGAAATGGATGAGAATGTTGGGTGTGGGATATTAAAAATGTGCCCGGAAGCATCATTTGTGGATGCAGAATTGAATGCATGCTTCCTAAACATCTCTGGAAGTGTTCAATGTTGATTAAACATACAATAGATACGTCTTGCATTGTGGTGGTCTTTCTGGTGCGCATGTCCATGTCCACGTCACCTCTTAACTCCCCGTATTTTCTCAGGCAAGGGAGACTCAGAGGGGGTTTGGCCAATTCCTTCCTCTGAAAGAGAGCCTACAGAACTGTGGCCCATTGAAAAGCAGAATGCCGCTCCAGTTTGAGAAGGGACCAGAGATCACCCCAGCCTCAAATAACAACTTTAATAATAATAATAATAACTTTATCTTTATACCCTGCCAACCATCTCCCTAGGGGACTCGGGGCAGCTCACAAGGGACAAGCCCAAATATTACAAGTAGAACACACACAAAAACATTTTAACCAATTAAAAGCAACAGATAAAAATAAAATACAACAGCAGTTGCAAACAGCATAAAAACAATATGGCTGTGTAAAGAACATAGCTGAGGTATGAGTGCAATACATTCCAACAGAAGATAAGCAGGTCCCAAACCGTTTAGGGCTTTATAGGTGATCATCGCTATGATACTTCACCGTGTTGATGGGAAGCTTCCCACCGGAGTGGAAATCATCTATCGGACAGATGGCAAGCTGTTTAACCTCAGCAGACTGAAAGCCAAAACCAAGGTTACAACAACATCTGTTATAGAACTCCAGTATGCTGATGACAATGTCGTCTGTGCGCATTCAGAAGAAGATCTACAAGCCACTCTAAACACCTTCGCAGAAGCATACGAGAAGCTTGGCCTGTCACTGAACATTGAGAAAACCAAAGTGCTGTTCCAGCAGTCACCAGCCAACCCCTCTCCAATGCCAGAAATACAGCTTAATGGTGTAGCATTAGAAAATGTTGACCATTTCCGCTACCTTGGCAGCCACCTCTCCACCAAAGTCAACATCGACGCCGAAATACAACACCGCCTGAGCTCTGCAAGTGCAGCATTTTCCCGAATGAAGCAGAGAGTGTTTGAGGACCGGGACATCCGTAGGGATACCAAGGTGCTTGTCTATAAAGCTATTGTCCTCCCAACCCTGCTATATGCCTGCGAAACGTGGACTGTCTACAGACGTCACATGCAACTCCTGGAACGATTCCATCAGCGCTGCCTCCGGAAAATCCTGCAAATCTCCTGGGAAGACAAGCGGACAAACATCAGTGTGCTGGAAGAAGCAAAGACCACCAGCATTGAAGCGATGGTCCTCCAACATCAACTCCGCTGGGCCGGCCACGTTGTCCGGATGCCTGACCACCGTCTCCCAAAGCAGTTGCTCTACTCTGAACTTAAGAACAGAAAACGGAATGTTGGTGGACAGGAAAAGAGATTGAAAGATGGGCTCAAAGCCAACCTTAAAAACTCTGGCATAGACACTGAGAACTGGGAAGCCCTGGCCCTTGAGCACTCCAGCTGGAGGTCAGCTGTGACCAGCAGTGCTGCAGAATTCGAAGAGGTACGAGTGGAGGGTGAAAGAGAGAAACGTGCCAGGAGGAAGGTGCGTCAAGCCAACCCCAACTGGGACCACCTTCCACCTGGAAACCAATGCCCACACTGCGGAAGAAGATGCAGAGCAAGAATAGGGCTCCACAGCCATATGCGGACCCACAAGGGAACACCCATAATAGAAGACCATCTTACTCGTCCAACGAGGGATCGCCTAAGTAAGTAAGTAGTAAGTAAGTAAGTATAAGTGATAACCTGCACCTTGAATAATAATAATAATAATAATAATAATAATAATAATACTTTATTTGTACCCGCTACCATCTCCCCAAGGGACTCGGTGCGGCTTACATGAGGCCGAGCCCACAATACAACAATAAACAACAGCAACAGTAATACAAAACAATAAATAAACTCATAAGCAAAAATAAGCAATAAACATTAACAATAACACGATGCGTTTAAAAACCTATGGCTGGGCCAAATGTAATAATTAAAATTAAAAAAATAATGCTGGGCATGACAAGGTGACATATAACTGGGATAGAAGTTTTGGAGAGGGATGAAATGTGCAGACAATCTTAGATCACTAATAAAGTGCGTTTAGGGACATATTGCTGGGAGTTTCCTTATTCTGGGAAGGCACACTGGAACAACCACGTTTTCAGGCTCCTCCTAAAGACTGCCAGAGTTGGGGCTTGCCTAATGTCCTTGGGAAGTGAGTTCCAGAGTCGAGGGGCCACCACCGAGAAGGCTCTTTCCCTCATCCCCACCAATCGCGTTTGCGATGGTGATGGGAGCGCGAGCAGGGCCTCTCCAGATGTGTTTCTACTTATGGGGGGAGATCATTAAAGATTTCCCCTGACCCCCTTCCTATGGACTGAGAGGAATGAAACTTGGCCCAGTTCTGAGTCCTTCTCTCCATGGGTGCTACCAATGGACATACACTTCTCCCATCTTTTGAAGCAACTGTAAACACCTTGCTTGTAGAAGTCAACAGGTTGCTCCAAGAACCATTCTCAGTTCTGAGTTGTAAATTGGCATGTAACCTATAGAGACTTCTATCATGACACATGTGCCGTTTCAGCATCCTGCGATAAATAGAAATGGGTCAGGGGAAATCCTTAATGAACTAAACTTTATTGAGTTTCTTCTGCACATATCCTTAACTAGTCTACAAGCTTAGGCTTACTTGTCTGGTTGAACGCAGTAACCAACATAAAATAACAGGCTATGCTTGGATTCCTGATGTTCGCTCAGATTGTAATAGATCTATGAAGATTAATCTGTGTGTCAACGGGTCATCCAACAAGTAATTCAATGAGTGTGCCCCATTAGGGAATAACCAGTACAACCGGGAGTGTTATCTCTATCTAAGGAGGTTTCCTATAAGACATTGAGCCCAGAGGCTGACAACCGTCAGGTCCGGGACTGGGAAAGAAAGACATCTAGGTGGTTTGCAAGCCTTGGACCAACATGGAGAGTGACTTCACAGGGAAAGAGGCTTACAGGCAGTATTTCAACCCCAAAGACTATCTGAACATGCACATGCAGTTTGAGTCTGAGAACAAACCAGTGCACGAGGACCTCTTCTCTTTCGTCTTGGACAATTTGCAGAAGGCGTTTCTTGTAGGTGAGTATTGCGGTCTTCTGTGGTTCACCATCTGGTCTTCTCTGCACTTGTGATAGAGCAGATGTACTGTGCATCATGCCACCAAGGGTTTTATGACCAGACTTTGCCCCGTTCCACACTCTAGGTGTATTATTCACTGAGAGTTCACTGGTGCATATCTTGGTCCACAGTTCCTATTGGAATCAAGGACTTGATTTGCATGGGAGGACCTAGAAAATGCCTGTGGTTCCTTCAAATAGACCATTGGCATGAGCAGATGAACCCATGGCCATTGCATGCCAAAGAGTTTTGATTCATTGCCATGTGTAAATGATAATGCAATTGAAATTGCACCAGAAGAAAGACATTGATATGGAAGAGGGCATCACTGAAAGGAGAATGCGGACTCACACTGGTTTCTTTGAAACACAGATGGCATCGGAGGAGACACCCTGATCGACATTGGAAGTGGTCCCTCCATCTACCAGCTCCTCTCTGCTTGCGAGTCTTTCAAAGAAATCATTGACACTGATTTCCTTGAGCAAAACCGGGAGGAGATGCAGAAATGGCTGAAGAAGGACCCAGAAGCTTTTGACTGGACCTCAATGGTGAAATATGCCTGCCAGTTGGAGGGGAACAGGTACGAGGAGATAGGTTTGGTATCTGGTGGATGCCTTTTACTCCCCATCTCTTAATAACTGGAATGGGACCCATGAGACCCTCTCGATGCATTGAGACTTCAGTCCCAAGTCCTCCTTTCCATTTGGGTATGGTTGCTGGAACTTCTTGGCAAGTAAGTCCCAGCAACCATACCCAATGGTGAGATATACTGGGAACGGAAATCCCAATGCATTGAGAGGGATTCGTGGATTCCCATTCCATCTGAAGGGTATAATGGTTCTACTACCCATAAACATCAACCTGAAGTCTTGTAGGTGTTTTGAAGGCTAACAGGTTGTGGTTGAAGTCCATAAAATCCAATTGTGAAATGCATCTACCAGGTGGAGGGAGAACAAGTAAGGATTAGTATGGTTGCCATTTAATTTCTATCCCTTAGTAACTTGAATGGGAATCCATGACACCATCTCAATGCATTCCAGTATGCCTTTCAGTATTCCAGTATGCTACATTGGGAGTAGAAGATATTTTGAACTTCTAAAAGCTGCCAAAAAATGACATTTAGCAGGTTCCTGATGCAATTAGCCTTTTGGATAGAAGCTTGGGAGATTTCTTCTGGAAGGGCATTGCCCCCCATAATAACGATGGCTAATGATACTATGGCTCCAGTTCAAGGACTTTCAGGAAGTCCCTTGAACTCCATTCTCAACCCTTAAAGAACAGGAATGTGTCTCAAGCAAGCAAATGAAGTAACTATTTCCTCTTTGTTCAGATATGAATTAGTGAGGCCTTAGGGGGAAAACATATTGCTCTCAAGCTTTGAGAGCAAAGTGATTGTCCTGTGCCATTTTTGCCCTTGTGTTCCCCTTAGGGAGAATTGGATGGAGAAGGAAGAGAAGCTCAGGAAGGCCATCAAGCGAGTCCTGAAATGTGATGTGACTTTGGCCAACCCCCTTGACCCGTTGGTGCTCAAGCCAGCCGACTGCGTCCTCTCCACTTTCTGCCTGGAATCGGCCTGCAAAGACCTTCCCACGTACCGTTCCGCCATGAGGAACATGGGTTCCTTGGTCAAACCAGGGGGCCACCTCATCTTTGCAGCAGTCACTCAGGAGACCTTCTACATGGTTGGCCCACACCGCTTCTCCTCCCTTTACCTGACACCAGAGATGGTCAGAGATGCCGTGAAAGAGGCTGGGTTTCAAATTCTGTGGTCCAAGATGAGCAGTCTGCATTGGTCACCAGAGATCACGGATGCTCATGATGTGATCTTTATGGTCGCCCAGAAACTCAAAGGAGCATGAGTGGCTAGCAAAGGAGGAACACATGGAGAGGAGCTAAGCACATGGCCATCACCATTGTATTGAGGGATCTCAGTCGATGTAAAGAACATGCTGCTTCTTGGTCATGAGAAGACAAGGAGAAAGGGCAACCAAGACATCAAAGGGCAACAAAGCTCATTTCTAGGGTCAAGCAACTTTTCAGAAACAGCCTTTCCATTGACTCCTTTTTAATGATTACTAGAAAGTTATTGTTCAATGGTTAAGATGCTTAAGCAATATTTAAACTAGTGAAACATTAGGATTACCCTTTTTTCTGTAGTACTGACATTCCTCTTTCCCAGGCTTGATTTCTATTAAATATAGAACTTGGAAACAAGAGCTGGCAGCAGTCATTTCAGCTAATTCTGGAGGAATACAGAAAGAGATCGATTTGGGTTGCTCTGAGTTTTCCAAGCTGTTTTCCAGGATGCTTCCTAAACATCTCCTGATATTTCACCCACATCTATAGCAGCCATCCTCAGAGGTTGTGAGGTCTGTCAAAAACTAGGCAAGTGGGGTTTATATATGAGTGATGTCCAGGGCAGGGGAAAGAACTCTTGTCTGGATTGTTGTAGGTTTTTTCGGGCTATATGGCCATGTTCTAGAGGCATTCTCTCCTGACGTTTCGCCTGCATCTATGGCAAGCATCCTCAGAGGTAGTGAGGTCTGTTGGAACTAGGAAAATGGGTTTATATATCTGTGGAATGACCAGGGTGGGACAAAGGACTCTTGTCTGCTGGAGCTAGGTGTGAATGTTTCAACTGACCACCTTGATTAGCATTTGATGGCCTGACAGTGCTTGGAGCAAACTTTTGTTGAGAGGTGATTAGATGTCCTTGTTTGTTTCCTCTCTGTTGTTGTGCTGTTGTAATTTTAGAGTTTTTTAATACTGGTAGCCAGATTTTGTTCATTTTCATGGTTTCCTCCTTTCTGTTGAAATTGTCCATATGCTTGTGTATTTCAATGGCTTCTCTGTGTAGTCTGACATGGTGGTTGTGAGAGTGGTCCAGCATTTCTGTGTTCTCAAATAAAATGCTGTGTCCAGGTTGGTTCATCAGGTGCTCTGCTATGGCTGACTTCTGAGCTATCAAATGCTAATCAAGGTGGTCAGTTGAAACATTCACACCTAGCTCCAGCAGACAAGAGTCCTTTGTCCCACCCTGGTCTTTCCACAGATATATAAACCCATTTTCCTAGTTCCAACAGACCTCACTATCTCTGAGGATGTTTGCCATAGATGCAGGCGAAACGTCAGGAGAGAATGCCTCTAGAACATGGCCATATAGCCCGAAAAAACCTACAACAACCCAAGTGGTTTTATGGTTTGATATTTTAAAAATCACCATGTCAGACTACACAGAGAAGCCACTGAACTCCACAAGCATGTGGACAATTTCAACAGAAAGGAGGAAACCATGAAAATGAACAAAATCTGGCTACCAGTATTTAAAAAAACTCTAAAATTACAACAGCACAACAACAGAGAGGAAACAAACAAGGACATCTAATCACCTCTCAACAAAAGTTTGCTCTAGGCACTGTCAGGCCATTATATGCTAATCAAGGTGGTCAGTTGAAACATTCACACCTAGCTCCAGCAGACAAGAGTCCTTTGTCCACCCTGGTCATTCCACAGATATATAAACCCCCTTTTTCCTAGTTCCAACAGACCTCACTACCTCTGAGGATGCTTGCCATAGATGAAGGCGAAACGTCAGGAATGAATGACTCTAGACCATGGTCATATAGCCCGAAAAAACCTACAACAACCCAGTGATTCCGGCCATGAAAGCCTTCAACAATACATAGAACTCTTGTCTGCTTGAGGCAAGTGTGAATGTTGCAAGCAGACCAGAGTTCTTTCACTCTGGTCATTCCACAGATATATAAACCTCACTTGCCTAGTTTTCAACAATGCTCACAACCTCTGAGGATGCCTGCCATAGATGTGGGTGAAACGTCAGGAGAGAATGCTTCTGGAAAATGGCCACACAGCCTGAAAAACTCACAGAAACCCAGTAATTCCAGCTATGAAAGTCTTTGACAACACTGAGATTTCTTTTAGGTGAGAATCATAGAATCATAGAATCCTAGAGTTGGAAGAGACCTCGTGGGCCATCCAGTCCAACCCCCTGCCAAGAAGCAGGAATATTGCATTCAAATCACCCCTGACAGATGGCCATCCAGCCTCTGTTTAAAAGCTTCCAAAGAAGGAGCCTCCACCACACTCTGGGGCAGAGACTTCCACTGCTGAACGGCTCTCACAGTCAGGAAGTTCTTCCTAATGTTCAGTGGAACCTTTAATGTAGGTTGGCACCACTTGGATTGCCAGGGGCAAACTTAGTGCAAAAAAACTGTGGGGGAGATTTTTTTTTTTTTTTTTAAATTGTTGAGCTAAAAAAAAAAACATTCCCAAAAAACAAAAAAAAATGAGGCTCCAACTAACCATGTGCAGTTTTTTTCTATGTTTTGATTTTTTTAAATTTGTTTAAAAATTGATAAGCAAGAATATTGCATTAATCACCCCTGACAGATGGCCATCCAGCCTCTGTTTAAAAGCTTCCAAAGAAGGAGCCTCCACCACACTCTGGGGCAGAGAGTTCCACTGCTGAACGGCTCTCAAAGTCAGGAAGTTCTTCCTCATGTTCAGGTGGAATCTCCTTTCTTGTATACATTGCATTTTGGAAACTACTGCGTTACCTTGTTCTGCATCGCTTTGCATCTTCTTTTTAACATAACAGGGACATGAATGACTAACTACCTTGCATTCAGTGAATTGTGGGTGGTGTTTCGTGAAATGAACAAGAATGTTGGGTGTGGGATTTTTAAAAACATGCCCCATCACAGCATTTGTGGATGCATTTGTGAGCACATGCTTCCTAAACAACTCAGGAAGTGTTCAATGTTGATTAAACATACAATAGCTATGTTTTGTGTCGTGGTGGTCTTTCTGGTGTGTGTGTCCATGTGCCTTCAAATTGCCTCTTAACATATGGAGATTCCATGTAATTCTATAGGTTTTCTCAAGCAAGGAAGACTCATAAGTGGTTTGTCCAGTTCCCTCCTCTGAAAGAGAGTCTACAGAACTATTTATTTGTCATCTCAGGGCAACCAGTCAATTATATTACATTTCTAACAGAACAAAGCAAACAAACAGACAAAATACAAAATTTGTGAGCTTGGTAGTTGATTAAATGTCCTTTGACCAGTATCTGGCCACTTGGAGTGCTTCTGGTGTTGCTGCAAGAAGGTCCTCCATTGTGCATGTGGCAGGGCTCAGGTTGCATTGCAGCAGGTGGTCAGTGGTTTGCTCTTCTCCACACTCGCATGTCGTGGATTCCACTTTGTAGCCCCATTTCTTGAGGTTGGCTCTGCATCTCGTGGTGCCAGAGAGCAGTCTGTTCAGTGCCTTCCAAGTCGCCCAGTCCTCTGTGTGCCCAGGGGGGAGTCTCTCATTTGGTATCAGCGATGGATTGAGATGCTGGGTTTGAGTCTGCCACTTTTGGACTCTCGCTTGCTGAGGTGTTTCAGCAAATGTCTCTATAGATCTTAGAAAACTATTTCTAGATTTAAGTCGTCGATGTGCTGGCTGATACCCAAACAGGGGATGAGCTGGAGATGTCACTGCCTTTGTCCTTTCACTATTGCCTGCTACTTCCCGGCGGATATTAGGTGGTGTGATACTGGCTAAGCAGTGTGATTTCTCCAGTGGTGTAGGGCGCAGACACCCCGTGATAATGCGGCATGTCTCATTAAGAGCCACATCCACTGTTTTAGTGTGGTGAGATGTGTTCCATACTGGGCATGCGTACTCAGCAGCAGAGTAGCATAGCGCAAGGGCAGATGTCTTCACTGTGTCTGGTTGTGATCCCCAGGTTGTGCCAGTCAGCTACAGAACTGTAGCCCGTTGAAAAACAGGATGCAGCTTCAGTTTGGGAAAGAGAATGCTAAGATTGTGAGCCTGTTTTCCTGCTGGATCATCATCCCATTTGTGTGTGGTGGGTTATTATTTGAAGGAATGCAGCTAAAGAATGCTTAATGGGTCTCCCAAGTTAGCAAACCATGTCTCAGGGGGATTTAAGTGGGTAAGTCAAAGGGCCAAAGTCACGCAGGTATCTCTACTTTTTTACAAAGGGGTAAACGTGTGGTGTAGCAGGAAATAATACCAAACTTACAAGCCAGCTTTTTTGTGGGCTGGACAACAAAATAAGGCCTCGGAGCACTGCATTGTCCTATCATGGTGCCCGGCGGATAATTATTGGAAGGAATGTGGCTGCAACAAACATTCTACAGGATAAGAAAGAACACTTAATGAGCCTCACAAGGTTAACAAGCCACACCTTGGGGTCTTTAAATTGGGACGCCAAGGGAGTCAAAATCACTTGGGTGTTTCTCTCAATCTCAGGCAGCATGGAAGGAGTCTTCACTGGAAAAGAGGCATACAGGCAGCACTTTGATCCAAAGGGTTTTTTCAATTCCCACATGTCTTGTGGGTCGGTTTGCCATCCAATGTTTGCGGTCATCCAGGAAATGTTCCACAAGACCTTCTTTGTTGGTGAGTGTCTCTTTTTGTCTCAGAGCAGAGAAGCCAAGAGGCCCAGTTACTCCACACGTCAAGGAACGTGGATCCATTGCCTTTAGCAGAAGAGAACATGACGGAAACAGGAAAGGAAATGTGGAGGAGCATCAGAGGGCGCTTCCAGGCCGTGCCAAAACACAGGATTAATATGCGGGATAGATTTATTTATTTATTTACCACATTTCTATGCCGCCTTTCTCACCCTGAAGGGGACTCAGAGTGGCTTACAAGTAAAAAGTAAATACAATATATTATATTATTACCATTTCACAATATTAATATTATATATTAGGTAAAGGTAGTCCCCTGACTTTAAGTCCAGTCATGTCTGACTCTGGGGTGTGGTGCTCATCTCCATTTCTAAGCCGAAGAGCCAGCGTTGTCCATAGACACCTCCAAGGTC